TTTTTTTTGAGATGGAGTCTTGCTGTGTCCCATAGGGTAGAGTGCAGTGGCACAGTCTCAGCTCACTGCCAAACGATTTTCATGCCTCAGCCCCCCAAGTAGCTGGGACTACAGGCATGCGCCCCCATGCCAAGCCAGGAAGAGAATATTCTTTTTTATTGAGACAGAGTTTCTCTCTTGTTGCCCAGGCTGGAGTGCAATGGCGCCATCTTGGCTCACTGCAACCTCCGCCTGCAGGGTTCAGGTGAGTCTTCTGCCTCAGCCTCCCGAGTAGCTGGAATTACAGGCACCCGCCACTACGCCCAGCAAATTTTAAGATGGAGCCTTGCTCTGTTGCCAGGCTGGAGTGCACATGGCTTGATCACAATTCACTGCAAACTCTGCCTCCCCGGTTCACGGCATTCTCCTGCTTTAGCCTCCCAAGTAGCTAGGACTACAGGTGCGTGCCACCTCGCTTGGCTAATTTTTTGTATTTTTAGTAGAGATAGGGTTTCACCATGTTAGCCAGGATGGTCTCGATCTCCTGACCTCATGATCCACACACCTCGGCCTCCAAAAGTGCTGGGATTACAGGTGTGAGCCACCGTGCCTGGCCTAATTTTGTATTTTTAGTAGAGACAGGGTTTCTCCACCAGTTCAGGCTGGTCATGAACTCCTGATCTCAGGTGACCCACTCACCTCAGCCTCCCACAGTGCTGAGATTACAGGTGTGAGCCACCGCGCCTGGCCAAAAAGAACATTCTTAATATCATGGTTGAGACGGTCCAAGGTCCCCTGCAGGCCTCTGGCAGGCAGGGAGGAAGTGGGATGTGCAGAGTAGGGTAGGGGTCTGGGGGACTGAGTTACAGGCTTTTCTGCCCAGCTGAATTGGGGAGGAAACAGCTTTCAAAAACTTTATACAAGGGCTGGGTGTGGTGCCTCATGCCCAGCACTTAGGGAGGCTGAGGCAGGTGGATCACTTGAGGGCAGGATTTCAAGACCAGCCTGTGCAACATGGTGAAAACTTGTCTCTACTAAAAATACAAAAATGAACTAGGAGTGGTGGCAGGTGCTTGTTTCCCAGCTACTTGGGAGGCTGAGGCAGGAGAATCACTTGAACCCGGGAGGTAGAGATTGTGGTGAGCCACGACCACACCATTGCACTGCAGCCTGGGCAACAGAACAGGACTCTGTCTCAAAAAAAAAAACAAACCTTTATACCACTGTCAAAGAATGAGGAGGAATTAATAAGCATTTGAGGTTCTCTGAACAACTGAAATAAAGCCTATTTGTTCAAGGGGTTGTGGTAAGATTTTAACAGCAGTCCTCAAATTGTCCCCTAATGAACAGGAATACAAAAATAGAGTGTAAGTTCCACCACAGGACCAAAACTGTCACGTAGAGCCTAATGGTAAGACTGTATTGGATATTAGGGACCACAAAGCACTTTCCTGTTTGCCTCATTTGACTTTCATAGCAGCTACGTGGGGAGCATCATCCCCATCTGAGAGCTGAGAACACTCAGGCTTGGTGAGCTGGTGTCTCGCTCCGTGTCAGAACACTCCCAAGCCCAGGCTTTCCCTGACTTTCAACCCATTCCTGCTTCTCTTGTCCGCTAGTGGGACCCCCAGCCAAAGGCTGCCAAGGACCTCTTTCACCACCACCTTTGTTTTCTGCTATTTAGGCACCTGCGGAACTCAAGTCACGCAGGAGCTTTTGTGATTGTGACGGAAGAAGCCATTGCCAAGGGTATCCGGAGGATCGTGGCTGTGACAGGTGCCGAAGCCCAGAAGGTGAGCAGGTCAGGCTGGTTTGGGGCTTATCTGAAGAGGGCAAGAATCCATAGAGCAAACAGTGCTCCGCGTGGCTGCTGCAGTCAGAGTGAAAGTGGAGACTGGGCCACTCCCCCTGCCCCAGTGTCCTACCCCTGTGTGGCAGAAGAAACCTGCCACCACACAAGATTTCCTAGCTTTCCTGTGTTTAGTCTTAAAATATATGTAAATCTGGCTATCTACCCCCTCTTATCTCCATGTGGAAGAGGGTGTAAGACATAGATTCGCTGTGGCTTCAGGGCCGACGGCACTGATCCATGTACCCCTAGGGGCGTGCTTAGTTTGAGGCCGTGCAGTAGAGGATGGGTGCTTTGTCATGGGAACTGGTGTGTCTGACTTGTCCTAAAGCCCCAGGGTTAGCCACTTCCTGGGTGATGGGGTTCCTGATTCTCGAGCTTGATCATCCCCAAGTCAGAGTTGGGTACAGTCGTTGCCAGTGGGCCTGTGAGCACTGTGCTCCTTGCTGGGGCCTGGTGCTGCCAGTACCTGCTCCCCACAGACACTTTTCGGGTGTGTTACTGCAGGGCCTACCACTGGGGCAGCCACTCAGACCCAGGATAGTGAGGCTGACTCAGGCTTCCTGCCTGGGGTTGACCCGGTGTCCCCTCCCAGGCCCTCAGGAAAGCAGAGAGCTTGAAGAAATCTCTCTCTGTCATGGAAGCCAAAGTGAAGGCCCAGACTGCTCCAAACAAGGATGTGCAGAGGGAGATCGCTGACCTTGGAGAGGTAGGGGTGGCTTCCCTCCCTCCTCAGGGCCTGATGCATGAGACATGCCCTGGCTTCAGTAAATCTGTATTCAGTCAGGCGCTGGTTCTTGGTGGAATGGGCCTTTGGGCTGACTTCTATTGTTCTGCAGCCTTGTAGCAGGGACCCCATGGATCCTGGCCTTGGACCCTGGAGGTTCCCTGCTGCCCCCATTGCTGCTAGCAGGAGAGCTCTTCCCAAGCATGTGTGGGCACTGGGGTGGAGGGATTTGGAGAAGGGGAAAAGGCTGCCCCCTGCTTCCAAGCCTGCCTGGCATTTATTTGCATTTTAAGCTGCCAGGAAGCTCATCACAGGCTGTTCCCAGCGTGGTAAGGACTGGACCTGACTTGGAGCCCAGCTTTCTACTGTTCCTTTCTCTCTAGCCCTGCTTGTTTCGCCTGCCGCAGCTGCTCCAGAAGGGACGGGTCTCAAAGCCAGAAGACAGCTTTGTGTTTTTGCTTTCCTTTCCAGGACACTAGTCAGGGAGGACTTGGGTTCAGGTGGGGTGGGCTGGACCTTGATATCCCAGCAAGTTTTGGCCCAGATTCAGATGGTCTTCTGGTTCTGGTTCCAGGCCCTGGCCACTGCTGTCATCCCCCAGTGGCAGAAGGACGAATTGCGGGAGACTCTCAAATCCCTAAAGAAGGTCATGGATGACCTAGACCGAGCCAGCAAAGCCGATGTCCAGAAACGAGTGAGTCCTGGCAGCACCGGTGGCCAGAGTGTTTCCTAGGCAAAGGCCGGCAGGATACAGCCAGAAGTTCGGGGCCTGGGCTTTTGGTCTGAGCTGCTCTTCTGGACTTTTTTCTTGCAGGTGTTAGAGAAGACAAAGCAGCTTATTGACAGCAACCCCAACCAGCCCCTCGTCATCCTGGAGATGGAGAGCGGTGCCTCAGCCAAGGCAACCCAGGGGCTGGGGGCCCCCTCCCCTGGGGCTCATCAGCCCTTTGGTGGCTGATATGTGACCTCCGTGGCTCTGAGCCAAGTGGTTGCCTAAGGGCCCACTGTCTGGGATTAAGGTTGGGAGGAACAGCAGCTCCCTGCATGTGGGAGGCACACCTGGGCCAGGGTGTGGGCAGGGCCCAGCACTGGGGTCCTCCACCCAGACCCTGAGGACTACATCTGCTCTGGGAAGGGGTGGGGGTGGGTGGCAGTCCTTCTGAGGGCTGCAAATGCTCACACTAGTAAGGGTCCCTGCTCCAGCACCATGGTCTGAGCCAGGTCCTCCCCACAGGCCCTGAATGAAGCCTTGAAGCTCTTCAAGACACACTCCCCTCAGACGTCTGCCATGCTCTTCACGGTGGACAACGAGGCTGGCAAGATCACTTGCCTGTGTCAAGTCCCTCAGGTCAGAACCACCTTGCACCAGTGGGAAGTGTTGGGTCTTAAGCTTGTTTGTTGAGGCCTGTGTGTGTACAACCTGCATTTAAAAGAGCCCATCTCCTGCCTGCCTGTTGGTCACCTTTGCCAGTACCCCTTACCCAAGCCTCCTCATTGGTTGCATCTGTCTGGTTGATACTTGGCTTTGCCATTCTGTCCTGTCCTGGCAGGGGCCATGACTGCCCCCTGCACTAGCCATAAAGTCTGTCTCGGCCTCCAGCAGTATCACCCAGGGCAAAGAGTGGGTGATAGCTCCTCCATCCTTTCTTTCCCTTTGTTCCTCCCTGACTTCCCCCTTCCCTTCCTTTCTTCTAGAATGCAGCCAATCGGGGCTTAAAAGCCAGCGAGTGGGTACAGCAGGTGTCAGGCCTGATGGACGGTAAAGGTGGGGGCAAGGATGTGTCTGCACAGGCCACAGGCAAAAACATTGGCTGCCTGCAGGAGGCGCTGCAGCTGGCCACTTCCTTCGCCCAGCTGCGCCTCGGGGATGTAAAGAACTGAGCGGGGGAGGAGGTGGCTCCTAGTGGCTCCATCTGTCCAGCTGGGAGCTCTTCATCTGCTACAAGAACATTTGAATCCTGGGACCTTTTGAGAGCCCCTCCTACCCCGGCAGTACCTGGACCACCCTCACGAGCAGTCCTGTGACTCAGCGCCCCTTATACTTCTGCCCTGAGCCCTCCACGTCAGTGCCATCTGTTGAGAACCACTACCCCCGCATTGCTGTTGATCGCCACACTCGCATCTGTAGATAACGGCTCTCCAGCCTGAGCTTTCCGCGTCAGCAAGGACGAATCATTTTTTGCTGCAGAGAATAAAAGGACCATGTGCAATACTTAATGCCGTATGATCTCTATCCCTTTTCCCAGGTGGGGCTCACTGTTTTGACAGCCCTTGGCCCCTGGTGTCTGTAGAATAAATGCTGTGGCTTCTACTGGCTGCTGTAGTGTTCACCTAGTCCAGCCCCAGAACCCTAAATTTTAGGAAAGGCCCCTGGGGTTGCCTCAAACGTTTGTGGAGGTGGAGGCCATATAGATATGGAGCAAGGCGTTCATAATTCAGTAGATGGGTGAGGTTAGTGGAAGCAGAGAAGCCTTGGAGCTGCTCTCCCGGCTCCCTTCCAGCAAGATGGATGGATCAGGCAGCCCTGCACAAGTGGGACCAGGGCGCCAGGGAGCCGGCCGTTCTCCCTCCGAGCCTCCAGCGGGCGCCGTAGCGCTGCCCGTCACTCTCGCGACAACCCTCACGCAGGCGCGCGTCTTTAAGCAACGGAAGAACCAGTAGGTGCGGCAGTGCGTTGGGCGGAAGCGGCTCGCACGCCAAGAGCCGCCATGCCCGGGGACCACCGCCGCATCCGCGGCCCTGAAGAGTCGCAGCCCCCGCAGCTGTACGCGGCCGACGAGGAGGAGGCGCCCGCCGCCCGCGACCCAACGCGACTGCGGCCCGTGTACGCGCGCGCCGGGCTGCTGAGCCAGGCCAAAGGCTCGGCCTACCTGGAGGCGGGAGGCACCAAGGTGCTGTGTGCAGTGTCGGGCCCGCGACAGGCCGAGGGCGGCGAGCGCGGCGGCGGCCCGGCCGGATCTGGCGGCGAAGCCCCGGCCGCGCTGCGCGGTCGCCTGCTCTGCGACTTCCGCCGCGCGCCCTTCGCGGGCCGCCGGCGCCGCGCTCCCCCGGGCGGCGGCGAGGAGCGTGAGCTGGCGCTAGCGCTGCAGGAGGCACTGGAGCCGGCCGTGCGCCTGGGCCGCTACCCGCGCGCGCAGCTCGAGGTGTCGGCGTTGCTGCTGGAGGACGGCGGCTCCGCCCTGGCCGCCGCGCTCACCGCCGCCGCGCTCGCCCTGGCCGACGCGGGCGTGGAGATGTACGACCTGGTGGTGGGCTGTGGCCTGAGCCTCGCGCCAGGGCCCGCGCCCACCTGGCTGCTGGACCCCACGCGGCTAGAGGAAGAGCGCGCCGCCGCCGGCCTCACCGTGGCGCTCATGCCTGTGCTTAATCAGGTGGCCGGGCTGCTAGGCAGCGGCGAGGGCGGCCTGATCGAGAGCTGGGCGGAGGCCGTACGCCTGGGCCTCGAGGGCTGCCAGCGCCTCTACCCCGTGCTGCAGCAGAGCCTGGTGCGGGCGGCCCGCCGTAGGGGCGCCGCCGCTCAGCCCTGAACTAGAAGCCTGAGCAACGACAGACGCAAGCCAAGGATCGTGCTGCCGCCGTCCCTGAAAAGACCCACGCCGTCGGCCTCCAGCCTGCGTCAAAATAAGCATCCGGAGCCCTGGAGAGCACCTGGCTAGGCCCTAGCAGAGCCAAGGCGCCGGACAGCTGTGGTGTTGGAAAGGGTTTTTACAAACCTCATTAAAGGAACTTTACTTGAGCCGGCCCTTAGCTGCGACCTAGTTGAGGAAACCTGTGAGCGCATCCTGACTCCCAAGTTGGAAACTTTAGCTGGACTTACCTAGAAGCTGGTACCTGGAGCTGCTGTCATTCAGGCCAGCCAGTCACTCCCTCCGATATAACTGGGCGACTTTTCAGAGGATGGACAAGACGACTGTGCCTTCTGTGTCTGAGCCAAAAGAAAGACCCTTTTATATTTGAAAAAACGTCTTCTGGTGTGGTTCTTCTTGGTCCGGAATTTCTAAGAGAGCAAGGCTCCTTTGTTCTTGCATCCCAGGTGTCAAGGGTCGCGGCGGCATTGCCTTAAACCGGTTCTGTTCCTTAGGCCCACGTGAACAGGAGAGACGGGCTGAAAAGAGCTGCAGAGCCTGATGGGAGCGCTGTGATTTGGAGAAGCAGCTGCCCCCACACGAACCAGAGTCAGGGGAACTGCTGAGATACGACGAGAGTAGGGAGAGTTGGCCGGGTGCGGCGGCTCACACCTGTAATCCCAGCACTTTGGGAGGCCAAGGCGGGGAGATCACCTGAGGTCGGAAGTTTGAGACCAGCCTGACCAACATGGAGAAACCCCGTCTCTACTAAAAATACGAAATTAACCAGCACTAATGGTGGCGTATGCCTGTAATCTTAGCTACTCTCGGGAGGCTGAGGCAGGAGAATCGCTTGAACCCGGGAGGCGGAGGTTGCGGTGAGTGGAGATCGCACCATTGCACTCCAGCCTGGGCAACAAGAGCAAGACTCCGTCTCAGGAAAAAGTATGGCCCCAGAAGTGCGCTGAGTGCACCGAATACCCCAACCTGGCTTGGTGCTGGGTAGCTGAAAAGGGTTTTGCTCTGGGTAGAAGCCATCTGTCCTTGGCCAGGTGCAGAATGGCACAACCCGAGCCTCCACTGCTGGTGAGAAGTGGCGCCCTGGTCCTACAAGGAAGACCCTGAGCAGCACCGCAAAGGGCAGGTGCACTGCTAGGAAAGCCAGGTACAACCTGACTGACTCACCACGAGGTGGGGTCTTTCCTGTGTCACTACCAGCTCTGCTGGTTTGGGCTCAAGACTGCATGGGAGGAAGCCAGGTGACTGCCATTTGGAAGGCGGCCTGGTCCCCTCTCTGCACTCAGCTTCTCTAGGAAGGGCCGACCTGGGTCAGCCCAAGGACCAGAATGAGTTTCTGGGTCCACACCCAGAACCCCTGACCAGGAAAAATATAAATTTTATTTTTTCCCTTCTGACATAATGTGTCTTTCTAGAGCAGGTCTGAAATAGTATCACACCAGTGGGGACAGGACATAATGTAATTCTGAAGGGTGACTTCCTAGAGTAGATGGGGAGTCTGGAGCCCAAAGAGGGCTGTGTGGGGTACACACTGAGAACATTCCAGCAGTTTCAGGGAGATTGGAAACTCAGGGAGATCTGTTGGCTATCTGTTGACTGGCGGTGCATCGGGAGGGGAGTGAAGATCAGCTGTGTCTGCATTCAGACAAGGCTGAGGGTGCCCTCTGAGCGCTGGGGGGGGTGGGGGTGGGGCTGTCATCTGCCCCACGCAAGAGAGCCTCAGCTTCATGAGGATAGCGACCTGGTGCAGTCCCAGGCCACCTCCCTCCTAACCCTGTCAGTCCCAGGACCATCATCTCGAAATGCAACCTCTAAAGAAGCTAAACCCACCACTACAGGTTGGCCCTCTGCTTGTCTGGCCAAGCCCTGTGTCCACTTCCATTGCCCCAGCTCCAGATCAGGCATCTCAGGTTGCTAAGGTGGCTTTCAAAACCTACGCAAGGCAAGGAGCTATCTATCCGAGAATGCCAGGAGCTGATGAGGCTGGAGGGGTTCCTGCTGCCTCCTGGCTGGCCTGGTCTTCAGCGTGGTTCTTCACCTGTAGGGAAAACAGAAGCAGGGCAGTGGCAGAGGGGCCGGAGGCATGGGAGGCTAGGAAAGGGGGGCCACCTACTCACAACATCTACTCTCACCCACACCCCGATTTCCATTTCCTCCCCAGAGCTTTGGCAGCTCAGGGCTTCTCTATATTCTACCTAAGACCTAGAAACCCAGAACCACCAGGCTAAAGAAAGCAGTCATCTACATGTAGCCATTCTTTTCCCAGATATTACAGGTGTGACTCAGGATCTGCGCAGCAGTGAAAACCCTCCTGAGCCCAGCAGACCGAACACAGAGCTGGGTGGGTAGATAGGGGAGGGCTCCAGCCCCACTGTGGGCCGGGCATGGCCTGCCTCAGACCAGCAAGAGGTGGTGGTTTTGGATGAGCAGGGAATATTCAGCTCCTCTAATGCCACACACAGGGCTGTTGCCAGTTCCAGGAAAGTTAGTGTGCCACAGCTTCCCCAGGGGGCGTGGTCCATGCGGCAGCCAGAGACCCTGCAGCAGCAGGAAGAGCGCAGGAACCTGGGGTTTTTTTTTTGAGACGGAGTTTTGCTCTTGTTGCCCAGGCTGGAGTGCAATGCTGTGATCTCAGCTCAGCAACCTCCGCCTCCCGGGTTCAAGCAATTCTCTCAGCCTCCAGAGTAGCTGGGATTACAGGCATGCGCCACCACACCATGCTAATATATATATTTTTTTGAGATAAAGTCTCTGTCACCCAGGCTAGAGCGCAGTGGCATGATCTCGGCTCTCTGCAACCTCTGCCTCATGGGTTCAAGTGATTCTCCTGCCTTAGCCTCCCAAGTGGCTGGGGTTACAGGCGCCCATCACTGTGCCCAGCTAATTTTTGTATTTTTAGTAGAGACGGAGTTTCACCATCTTGGCCAGGCTGGTCTCAAACTCCTTGCTGGGATTAAAGGCGTGAGCCACCACGCCCAGCCAATTTTTTGTATTTTAAGTAGAGACAGGGTTTCTCCATGTTGGTCAGGCTGGTCTCAAACTCCCAACCTCAGGTGATCCACCTGCCTCGGCCTCCCAAAGTGCTGGGATTACAGGCATGAGCCACTGCACCCGGCTGAAACCTGAGACAAGCTTACCAGCTGGGTCTCAGGCAGGGGTCTGGGGCCATGGGGCACACCTGTGACATTCCCTTTACGGTGCTCCAGCCCTGTCCCCCCACTGCCTTCTGGGAGAAGGTATTTCAGCCTAGAACCGACCCTGGCACAGCTGAGCCCTCCAAACCCAGGGTTGGGAGGCAGAAAACAGGACAGGGCCGAGCCTACTGGGCATGACTCTGACGGGGGAATACACCTCCCCGTCTGTACCACCTCGGCCTCCTGTACTGACCAGAGAGGCCCTCCCTTGCTCACAGGGAGGCCACAAGGAACCCAACACAAGTAGGGTGGAGATGGGGCAGCGGGGCCAGGTCACTCACTGTCCACTCCGTGTCTGTGCCGCCCTCGTAGCCATCTGCCTCTGGACCAGCCCCCTTGCTCCGGGGCTTCTGCGGGGCCTCAGAGCTGCAGGAGGAGCCCTTGCTACCAGGACTCCTGTTTTTCCCACTGTCCTTTGTGGCTGTGCAGAGAAGGTCATCAGTCAATGGCTGGGTTCGGAGGCCCCAGCTGACCCCAGAGAGGCCACTTAATGCCCAGCAATGACCTAGGGCCTCTAAAGACTCAAGAGGGCAAGAAACAGATGGGCTGGGACGTGTGGCTCTGTCTCCAGGCGGTTGCTGAGTGGGTGGGGGTGACCCAGAAACCACAAGAGTCCTTGAGCCTCAAGTACAGCCCAGGGATGGGGAGTGGGGAGTATACTCTGGGGAGGGAGACCTGAAGACAGGGAAAGGCACAGGCAGGGCCCCAGGCACCAGGCATCTTCAGGAGTGGGGAAAGCTGGGCTCCCACAGAGCATGGGGATCAGACCTGCGGGTGGGACCTGCTGCCGGTCAATGCGCTCCAGGCTGTGCAGCAGACTGTCCACCTGGGCTTTGATGTGCCACAGCGCCCCCTGGATGTCATGCAGCTCCTCGGTGCGGACTGCAGGGAGAGGGGCAGGGTTGGTGCCCAGGCTGGGCTCTGGGGCCTGCCGTGACAGCTGGTGCAGCCACCCAACTGCTCCCTAGCACTGCAGGTGTGACTGTGGCCCCCACTCACACTTTTTCTGCCCAGAGGGCAGGGGGCTGTTCCTGGAGACCCATTGGGGGCTGAAGCCGCTCCTGACCCCCATGCCCATGTGGGCCCTCTGGATCTTGACAGGCATGTGGTTGATGAGTGGGGGCATCCGGATCCTCTGGTATTCATAGACCCTGGGGACGGGACAGGACAGAGAGGGAGTCAGGCCAGCCAGCCCCACCTCCCCAAGCTGTACATGATCTCTGTACACTTGTAGCTACTACTGCTGCTGTGAAGGACACAAATGGAAGGGGTCACGGTACACGACCAGGGGCTCTGCCTGGTGCCCAGTTGAACTTGGAAAACTGAAGGTCACAGCTCTTCCTTGGAATGCCAGCCTTCCTCAGTGGAAGAGCCCCTAGGGACTTGCCCAAGGTCACTTTGGGAGACCACAGCAAACCAACTTCGCCAGTTGGCCTCTGATAAGGGGTGCCTCCAGGTGGCAGTGGGGACACAATCACCCACAGGCTTCTGGCAGCCAGAGCCTGGCCTCCCCCTCCCCCTCCCCCAGGCTGCTCTGTGAAACCGGCACTGTTGATGCCCTGAGACTTTGTCTGGCAAAAGATGAAAGGGAAGAGGTGTGTCAGAGCCAAAGCCCTGGCAAGGCATGGGAGAGCCTTCAATCCTTGCCTGAGAATCACCGGGGCCAGCAGGCAGGGCTAGGGACAGGGCAGTGGCCAGGTCACCTGGGCCTTTGTTCCAGGCCCTGGGAGACAGGATGGGTCCCAACGGCCCAGGCTCGCTCACAAAAGTGGGGCTCCCTACTTATCACACACCAGGCACCCCAGGGAACCTGTGCCAGGAGGGGGTCGGGGAGCATGCAAAGAGACAGCTGGGTCCCAGCCTGGGCAGGAAGCTCTGGGGACCCTGCAGGAGGAGCTTCAGGTCCTTCCTGTGCCTGGGGAGGGCTCTGAGTTGGGGGAAAGGGAGGGGACGTGTGGTGATGGGTGGGGGTAGTAAAAAGTTATCAACTTTCCAGTCCTGTCGCTGTTGCCCCCAAGCTCAGGGCCAGCACACGAGGGGTGGAACGGAGGACATCCTGGGCACCTGCCCTATCCCCTCCATCTCCGGCCACCCCCTACTCCCACCCCTGCTTTCTGGCTCAGGAGGTCTGGGTAGGCGGCCTGGGAAGCTTCCAATTCCGGTAGGAGGGGAGGGAGGAAGGGGAGGGAGGAAAGGGAGGGGAGGGAGGAAAGGGAGGGGAGGAGAGGGAGGGAGGAGAGGGAGGGAGGGGAGGAGAGGGAGGGAGGGAAGGAGAGGGAAGAGAGGGAGGGAGGGGAGGAGGGGGAGGAGAGGGAGGGAGGGGAGGAGAGGGAGGGAGGGGAAGAGGGGGAGGAGAGGCAGGTCCAGCCGCAGGGTAGATGGACAAGGACCCCCAAGGGCCAGGAAGGACCAAGCAGTGAGAGCTGGGGCCAAGACAGCATTGGAGGTGAAGGCCTCCGAGGAGCAGGACCGCCCTGGAAAGTGTCCTTGACCCAGCCTTGCAGCCCCCTCCCCACGGCTAAACAGACCAGACTGGACAGGCAGGGCCAGGCCTGTGACCACCTGGGATGCGGTGACAAACCCACATTCATTGACGCATTGGTGATTCAGTGGTAGAATTCTCGCCTGCCATGCGGGAGGCCTGGGTTCGATCCCCGGCCAATGCACAGGGAATTCCTTTTTTGTTGTTGCTTTTTTTTTTTTTTTTTTTTGAGATGGAGTCTTGCTCATCGCACAGGCTGGAGTGCAGTGGGACGATCTCGGCTCACCAGAAGCTCTGCCTCCCGGGTTCACACCATTCTCCTGTCTCAGCCTCCCGAGTAGCTGGGACTACAGGCGCCTGCCACCATGCCCGGCTAATTTTTTGTATTTTTAGCAGAGACAGGGTTTCACCGTGTTAGCCAGGATGGTCTCGATCTCCTGACCTCGTGATCCGCCCACCATGGCCTCCCAAAGTGCTGGGATTACAGGCGTGAGCCACCGCACCCAGCCTGTTGTTGCTTTTTAAAGACAGGATCTTGGGACCAGTGCGGTGGCTCTCGTCTGTAATACCAACACTTTGGAAGGCTTAGGTGGGTGGATCACGATGTCAGGAGTTTGAGACCAGCCTGGCCAACATGGTGAAACCCCATCTCTACTGAAAATACAACAATTAGCTAGGCGTGGTGGCGGGTGCTTGTTATCCCAGCTACTTGGGAGGCTGAGGCAGGAGAATCTCTTAAAACCAAAAGGCTGAGGTTGCAGTGGGCTGAGATTGGGCAACTGTATTCCACCCTGGGCAACAAGAGCAAAACTCCATCTCAAACATACAAAAATAAAAATTAAAATATGACAGGATTGCTGGGCGCGGTGGCTCATGCCTGTAATCCCAGCATTTTGGGAGGCCTAGGCAGGCAGATCACCTGAGGTCAGGAGTTTGAGACCAGCCTGGCCAACATGATGAAACCCTGTCTCTACTAAAAATACAAAAATTAGCCAAGTGTGGTGGTGCCTGCCTGTAATCCCAGCTACTTGGGAGGCTGAGGCAGGAGAATTGCTTGAACCCAGGAGGTGGAGGCTGCAGTGAGCCAAGATCACGCCATTACATTCTAACCCCTGGGCAACAGAGTGAGACACTTTTTAAAAAAAAAAAAAAAAAGTGATCTTGGCCGGGTGCCGTGGCTCACACCTGTACTCCAGCACTTTGGGAGGCCAAGGAGGGTGAATCACCTGAGGTCAGGAGTTCGGGACCAGCCTGGCCAAAATGGTGAAACCCTATCTCTACTAAAAATGCACAAAATTAGCCGGGCGTGGTGGTGGATGCTCGTAATCCCAACTACTCAGGAGGCTGAAGCAGGAGAATCACTTGAACCTGGGAGGTGGAAGTTACAGTGAGCGGAGATCACGTCACTGCACTCCAGCCTGGGCAACAGGAGTGAAACTCTGTCTCAAAAAAATATAAGGCAGGATCTTGCACAGTCGCCCAGGCGACATCATCATAGTGGTATGATCCTACCTCACCACAGCCTCGATCTCCCAGGCTCAAGAGATCATCCTGCCTCAGCCTCCCGAGTAGCTGGGACCACAGGCCAAAAATAAAATAATTATTGCCTAACTAATTATTTTTTGTAGAGACAGCGTCTCTATCTTATCCAGGCTGGTCTCAAATCTGGGCTCACATGACCCTCCAGCCTCAGCCTCCCAAAGTGCTGGGATTACAGGCGTGAGCCACTGTGCCCAGCCTAAGTGTATTTTTGTGAGTAGCCACAGATGAACCATGCACTGGAAGGGGATTCTGCTGACTGCCACCCAAGCTGAGATAAACAGGGAGAGACTGCGTGCGTTCGGGTACCTGCCCATCTGCAGCCACCTGTTGCAGGCAGGGGGTCCTTCCTCACGGGACCTCCCTGCCCTGGCCTGCCTTTGCCGGCACTGAGGCCAGGGTCTGTGTCCAGGTGGGTGGGCAGCCTTGTGCTTCTCTCCCCAAGGGGAAGGGCCTGGTTGGACGAGGGCAGTGGCTGCAGCTGCTCCCTGTAGTGGCTACAGCCTGCAATCTGGGAACGTCCCACAGCAACAAACTAAACACACCTTCGGAATGGCTCTATGGGCAGAGAGATGGGGTTTTACCATGTTGGCCAGGCTGGTCTCAAACTCCTGACCTCAAGAGATCCGCCCACCTGGGCCTCCCAAAGTGCTAGGATTACAGGTGTGAGCCACCACACCCAGCCTAATCCCAGCACTTTGGGGGGCCAAGGTGAGAGCCTCCCTTGAGGCCAGGAGTTTGAGACCAGCCCCGGCCAATATGGTGAAACCCCGTCTCTACTAAAATACAAAAATTCACCGGTTGTGGTGGTGTGCCTCTGTAATCCCAGCTACTCGGGAGGCTGAGACAGGAGAATCACTTGAACCGGGGAGGCGGAGGTTACAATGAGCCGAGATTGCGCCTGGAGCTGAGTGGCAATGGAGCGAGACTCTGTCTCAAAACAAAACAAAAATTAGCCGGGCGTGGTGGCATGCGCCTGTGATCCCAATTACTTGGGAGGCTAAAGTGGAAGGATTGCTTGAGCCCAGCAGGAGGTTGCAGTGAGCTGAGATTGCACCACAGTACTCCAGCCTGGGTGACAGAGCGAGACCCTGTCTCAAAAAAAAAAAAAAAAAAAAAAAGATTTCCTTAAAATTGCTTTAAGTTTCCCAAGTTAGGGGAACAATGTCAACCAGAAAGGTTCCCATTTGCTACTTCCCAAAGGTCTAGACCCAGAAATTGCCCCCAGACACTACCCCCTAGGGACCCTCACCTGGGGGGATCCAGGCTTCTCCAGGCCGAAGGAGGGGCCCTGCCTCGGTCACGATGGGGGAGTTGGTGGCACCAGCTAGAAGGGGCTTTGGAATGCACTGGGTCAACTTCCTCAGTTGACAAAGAAAACCTAAGGCCCAGGGAAGCAGCCCTGAGCACCCTGAGCCACTGGGTGTGTAGCACACTGGGGGGCTTCTGGGGTCCTTGTTCTGTCCCAGGGGAACCCAGAGCCCCATACAAGCTCGACAGCCCCCCACCCGCTCCCCAGCAGCCCATCCTGACAGACTCACCAGAAAACGCCGGTGCCGTGCTGCCTCTTCTGGCCTGGCTGGGCAGGGCCGGCCTTGGGATCTTGAGCCATGTCTAGATCTGGCAGCAAGAGAGCGGGGCAGGTGTGAGAGGCAAGGGAAGGGGCACGGGGGGCATGGGGGTCGGGGTGCAGGGGGACTGGGGTACAAAAGCACACAGGGATCCCCTCTTGCTTCTGCCTGGGTCTTCCCTCCAAAGCAGCGAAGCATGCGCCCCCTGCCACCTCCCCGCAAGGGCCACAGGCAGCCTGACCTCTCACAGCCCCAGGCCCCCCACCCAGAGCTGGGGTCAGACCTTAGGGGTCATCCTAGAGGTTCCCCAAGACAAAGAGACAAATGACTTCAACACAAAACCGCCCAAGGATAGGGAAGGGTGCCCTACTGTTTCCTTCAGACCCGAACCAACTGTCTGATCAACCCCACACCCAGGCCCTGGAATTTAGGGTGCTACCGTCCAAAGGCAGGAGGGGGAAGCCTGGGATCCTTGGGTCCTCTGAGGAGATACCCAGCCCTCGTCCGGGCTAATTCTCAAATGTCCTCTGCTGCCCGCCCAGGGCAGAGAGCCGCTGCCCTGCCGCCCGCCCACTGCTAGCCCGCTGCCAGCCCCCGTCCCACACCTGCCCAAGCTAAGCTCTGGCTCTGGCTACTGCCACCATGGCCAGCGAGGCTCCAAGGAAGAAGCAAAGCAGCACTTCTTCATTTTTCTGTTTTATATTATTTAAATAGAGATGGAGGTCTCATTATATTGCCAAAGCTAGTCTAGCATTCCTGGCCTCAAGTGGTCCTTCTGCTTCAGTCTCCCAAAGTGTTGGGAATACAGGCATGAGCCACTGCGCACAGCCTACTTTTCACAAAACAGTTGAACATTAAGCCGGGTACAGTGGGTTATGCCTGTAATCCCAGCACTTTGGGATGCCAAGGTGAGAGGACTGCTTGAGGCCAGGAGTTCAAGACCAACCTGGCCAGCATAGTGAGATCTCCATCTCTGTACAAAAAGAAAAAAATATATATAAAGGTTTTTTTTTTCTCCCCCTGAGATGGAGTTTCACTCTTGTTGTCTAGGCTGGAGCGCAATGGCATGATCTCGGCTCACTGCAACCTCAACCTCCTAAATTCAAGTGATTCTCCTGCCTCAGCCTCCCAAGTAGCTGGGATTACAGGTGTGTGCCACCATACCTGGCTAATTTTTATATTTTTAGTAGAGATGGAGTTTCACCATGTTGGCCAGGCTGGTCTCAAACTCCTGACCTCAGGTGATCCACCCGCCTAGGCCTCCTAAAGTGCTGGGATTACAGGCATGAGCCACTGCGCCCACCCATAACATTTTTTAAAAAGAATTTAAAGTTCATCAAATCATTGCCCTCAGACAGGTAACCTCCCAGACCCAAGACCCATATTATTTACCTTGAAGTCAAAAGAGAAGCATCACAGAAAGTCAAGGTGCCCACAACAAGATGCAGCAGCCACACTGGGCATTCCTTCTGGACCGAACTGAGATGAAAGTGCTCCTGGCAGAGGCGGCCCTGATTGTTGGCAGGTTTGAGAGGCCAGTAAGGCCAGTCATGGTGGCTCATGCCTGTAATCCTAGCACTTTGGGAGGCCGAAGCAGGAGGATCACTCAAGCCCAGAAGTTCAAGACAAGTCTGGGCAACATAGACAGATGCCCATCTATAAAAAAAAAAAAAAAAAAAAAAGACAAAAATTAGCCAGGCGTGGTAGGTATCATGCATGTAGGTATCTGAGAGGCTGGGGTGGGAGGACCATGTGAGCCCAGGAGCTCAAGGCTGCAAAGAGCAGCAATTGTACCACCACACTCCAGTCTGCGCAACAGAGTGAGACCCCAGCTTAAAAAAGGTCAGTAGGCCGGGCGCAGTGGCTCAAGCCTGTAATCCCAGCACTTTGGGAGGCCGAGACGGGCAGATCACGAGGTCAGGAGATGGAGACCATCCTGGCTAACACGGTGAAACCCCGTCTCTACTAAAAATACAAAAAATGAGCTGGGCGAGATGGCGGGTGCCTATAGTCCCAGCTACTTGGGAGGCTGAAGCAGGAGAATGGTGTGAACCTGGGAGGCGGAGCTTGCAGTGAGCTGAGATCTGGCCACTGCACTCCAGCCTGGGCGACAGAGCGAGACTCCGTCTCAAAAAAAAAGAAACAAAGGTCAGTAATGCTTTATGAAATCCTATTAAATCTGGCAGATTTGAAACACAAATTAAATGACCCCACGGCCAGGCACGGTGGCTCCCACCTGTAACCCCAGCATTTTGGGAACCCAAGGCAGGTGAATCACTTGAGGTCAGGAGCTTGAGACCAGGCTGGCCAACATGGTGAAACCCTGTCTCTACAAAAACACAAAAATTAGCCAGGCACAATGATATGTGCCTGTAGTCCCAGTTACTTGGGTGGCTGAGGCAGGAGAATTGCTTGAATTCAAGAGGCGGAAGTTACAATGAGCTGAGATCATGCCACTGCACTCTAGTCTAGTCTAGTAGTCTGCACTCTACTCTGTCTCAAAGAAAAAAAAAAAAAACTCACCCACATTTTTTTTTTTTTGAAGATAGAATCTCCCTCTGTTACCAAGGCTGGAGGGCAGTGGCACAATCATGGCTTCTTGCAACCTTGACCTTCCAGGCTCAAACAATTCTCTAACATCAGCCTCTGCTTCACACCTGTAACTGGGACTACAAGCGCACACCATCATGCCCAGCTATTTTTTTCTCTATAGAGATGGGATCTCACTATATTGTCCAGACTAGTCTTGAACTCCTGGCCTCAAGCAGTCTTCCTGCCTCGGCTTCTCAAAGTGCTGGTATTATAGGCATTAGGCAGCACACCCAGATTCACTTTAAAAATTTATGGTGGAATATGGGCCAGGCGTGGTGGCTCACATCTGTAATCCCACACTTCGGGAGGCTGAGGCAGGTGAGTCATTTGACGTCGGGAGTTTGAGACCAGCCTAACATGGAGAAATCCTGTCTCTACTAAAAATACAAAATTAGCTGGGCATGTAATCCCAGCTACTCGGGAGGCTGGGGCAGGAGAACCACTTGAACCTGGGAGGCGGAGGTTGCAGCAAACCAAGATTGCACCATTGCACTCTAGCCTGGGCAAACAAGAGCAAAATTCCATATCAAAAAAAAAAAAAAAAGAGCCGGGCGCGGTGGCCAAGCCTGTAATCCCAGCACTTTGGGAGGCCGAGATGGGGCGGATCACGGGGTCAAGGGTCAGAGACCATCCTGGCTAACAGAGTGAAACCCGTCTCTACTAAAAATACCAAAAAAAAACCTAGCCGAGGCGAGGTGGCGGGCGCCTGTAATGTAGTCCCCAGCTGCTCGGGAGGCTGAGGCAGGAGAATGGCGTGAACCCGGAGCGGAGCTTGCAGTGAGCTGAGATCAGCCACTGCACTCTCGCCTGGGTGACAGAGGAGACTCAGTCTCAAAAAAAAAAAAAAAAAAAAAAAAAAAAAAATTATGGTGGAGTATTCTAGTTGCCAACAAAACATGCCAGCTAAGTGTTAGCAGGAGGCCTTTTTTTTTTAAAAAAAAAAAAAAAAAAAAAAAAATTATGGTGGAGTATTCTAGTTGCCAACAAAACATGCCAGCTAAGTGTTAGCAGGAGGCCTTTTTTTTTTTTTTTTTTTTGAGACGGAGTCTTGCTGTGTCGCCCAGGCTGGAGTACAGTGGCGCGATCTCAGCTCACTGCAAGCTCTGCCTCCCGGGTTCACACCATTCTCCTGCCTCAGCCTCCCGACTAGCTGGGACTACAGGCGCATGCCACCACACCCGGCTCATTTTTTGTATTTTTTAGTACAGACGGGGTTTCACCGTGTTAACCAGGGTAGTCTCGATCTCCTGCCCTCGTTATCCGCCTGCCTCAGCCTCCCAAAGTGCTGGGATTACAGGTGTGAGCCACAATGCCTGGCCAGCAGGAGGCATTTTATTTTTTTGAGACGGAGTCTCGCTCTGTTGCCCAGGCTGGAGTGCAGTGGCACGATCTCGGCTCACTGCAAGCTCCGCCTCCCAGGTTCATGCCATTCTCCTGCCTCAGCCTCCCGAGTAGCTAGGACTACAGGCACCTGCCACCCCGCCTGGCTAATTTTTTCTATTTTTCTTTGTATTCTTTTATATTTCTTTTGTATTCTTTTGTATTTCTTTGTATAGAATACAAAGAATAAAATGCCAGGAGGCATTTTGAAGAATACAAAGGAGTCCTATCAGCATGTACATGGGTAGATAAAATAAAAATAAAAACTAAAAACAAAGGAGTCCTACACCCTGCATCCATCCTGTGGCCTTGGGCCACAGGAAGCACAAAGCAGGGCTCAAGGGCCATCGTACCAGTTGCTGTTTTGATGACACTGGCTCTATGTGCTGCTGCTGATAGTGACAGGAGACAGATCTGAGGCAGACAGACCCTAGGCAGATAGGGTGAGTCCCCCGTGAAACCTCACCATGAAGCCAAAAAAAGCCTGAAACCCAGCATCGGAGTGAGAACTTCTATTCCTGTTTGTGCACTCTTTCCTGATTGGTTCTTTCTGAATAATGTTTTTTAACCAATTAAAGGTTACCTTTTCCAATGCTACCCATGGCCTGCCTCTTCTCATTCTGTGCCCATAAAAACTCCAGACCCAGCCACAATGATGGAAACCACCAGACTTCAGGTGGTTGATCACCCTCGCATCCCCTCTCTGCTGAGAGCTGTTTTGTTGCTCAGTAATATTCTTCTCTGCCTTCCTCCCTCTTTGTCAGTGTGACCTCGTTCTTCTTGGACATGGCACAAGAACTCAGGACCCACCAAATGTGGGTACAGGGAAGGCTGTAACGTCATGGCCCCATCCTCCACCAGCTGAGGGCAGCCACCCACATGACAGAAGCAGCAGCAGGGCAGAACCAGCTCCAGAGTCATGGGCCAGAGCAGGGCAAGGGGCTGACAGAGCTGTTAACATGCTGCTGTCCGTCAGGCTGTGGACAGTGGGACTAAAAGAGCTAATTAGCTGGCCAGACCCAGTGGCTCATGCTTGTAATCCCAGCACTTTGGGAGGCAGAGGAGGGCAGATCATCTGAGGTCAGGAGTTTGAGATCAGCCTGGCCAATGTGG